TTTTATTGCACTTTGCAGATATTGCAGTCTTTACAAATTCAAAGTTTGTGGCAACCCTGCATTATCAGATGATGATAAGCATTTTTTAGCAATACAGTATTTTTTTTTTTGCGGTACGCGGGCCTCTCACTGCTGTGGCCTCTCCCGTTGCGGAGCACAGGGTCCGGACACGCAGGCTCAGCAGCCATGGCTCACGGGCCCAGGTGCTCCGCGGCATGTGGGATCCTCCCAGACCGGGGCACGAACCCGCGTCCCCTGCATCGGCAGGCGGACTCTCAATCACTGCACCACCAAGGAAGCCCCAGCAATACAGTATTTTTAAATTAAGGTATGTAGACTATTTTTTTAGACATAATACTATTACACATTTAATAGACTACAGTATAGTATAGACATAACTTTTATATGCACTGAAAAAATAACAAAAAAAAAATTCATGACACTTCATCGCAGTGGTCTGGAACTGAAGTGCACTATCTCTGTGGTATGCCTGTACAGGCTTTTTACCAAGTTTTCAACTCTGGGAAAATTTCTAGCCTCATCTTTCTGGAGACTTAAGCAACTTTCAAACTTTATCCATTTAGAAAATCTTCACCACAATTTTCTAAAGGCACAACCTTACCTACTCTGAGATTAGAACACAGAGAGGCCTTTTAACCCATTGCTTGTGCGTGGTCACTAGCATTCAGATGAAGCCTCCAGGGCAGTAGAATAGGTTTGCCAAATGCATAACAAATTTTTCTAGGCTATAAAAGCTTGAGGAAGACCAACTTCGTCTAAACAGAGAATCACTTCTCACTCAAACCTAGTTTACCTGCTTACCTCCCATGATGTACTGGCAAGTGTTTGCGATGGATTCCATGACTTCCTTCCACAAAAGCATTGGGCGGCTTATGGTACACTGAGGCCAAAGAACCAATGTGGCAGATGAGCTCATCCAACAGAGTTAGCTCAATAAGATCTGTCTCCTCAGAGATCAGTGGCTTCTCAGACAAGACTACTTCTTTGGCTGTGACAGGATCAGTTGAGAGAAGGCGCCAATAAATATAGCCCCGATCTCGAAGGTCAGGATTATCAGAATCCTAATGAAAAGGCAACGGCAAGAAGGTTTAAATGTAACCTTTCTCCATACAGAAAGCCAAACTGCTGGATTTATTATCAAGGCAATGCTGAAGTGATTTACTCAGAGTTGGCCGTTAAGAAGATATTTAGACTCAATATATTGTTAATAGAGTCATAATTCTGTAATCTCTAATGTTTCCAAGAATTTAAATATAAATTGAAGTGGGTTAGTTCTAAGACTCAAATTCAAAACGAAGTTGGGAAAAGGAAAATAAAGTTTAAGCCAGTAAAAATCAACTGCTTACGATGGCCTCAGGACATAAAAATAATGTTTTTAACTGCTTTAATATTAGCAGGATTATTCATGAAACACATCTTACATATATTTCACCCATACCTTCTTTCTTCATTCAAATATTTATTAAGTATCTCCTATGGAGACACTGGCTAGGCCCTGGAAATAAAGAGACAACAACACAGTGCCTGACTTCAATGAGCTCAAAGAATATTAATTATTACAATATAGTATGAGAGGTACTATTACCTAAATAATTAAAAAAAAAACTGTTAAAGAGAGCACATAACTAAGTGCTTCTAAAAGGGGTGACACTTGAATTTAGTGGTCTCGTTTCTTTTTTTTGTGGCTGTTTAAAAATAATTTTATACATGGTCATGGCTAAGAAAAATTTATTATCAATGACACACCACAATTTAGAAATGTATAATATAAAAATAAGTCTCCCCCTATCATCCAACCCTACCCCACCTTAACTCCCCATCCCCAAAATAGCCATATTAACAGTGCACTATATATCTTACCAGAGAGCTCCCACACATATATATTTATTTTATACAAAACCAGTTTCATAGTATATATACTGCTCCTCAAGCTGCTTTCCATATTGGCACATACAGCTGCCATTTTCCACTGTATATGCAGCACTGCATCATTATTTACTAGTGTTCTACTGATGAACATTTAGGCTGTTGCCTCCTTCTCCCTCCTTCCTACTATTTATTTTTGCAATCATTACAAAGTGGCAATAAATATCCTGGTATCCACCTCTCAGAATGTCTATATAGTGGCATTCATTTATGCATGAATTGTTCCAGTGGTATCATGTTATTAAAGGCAACAATCAGTCCCATTTCAATTTCTGTATTTAAAACACATACAAAACTATTTTCTTTAAACTAGGCCAGGGTTTTTCCCATGAGTTTCTACATAAGCAGATGAACTGGTTTATAATTTAGCCATTTAAGGCACGTATCATTCAGCTCAATACCAGAAGTGACCCTGATGGTTTTATATAGATTTTCTTAATCATGTATTATTTAATTTGCACTCAAAATGGAGTGCTGGTTAAGAACAAAAAAGCATAAAGAACACTGAGATACAAGTTAATACAGTATAAAAATGGTAAATTTTACCTCAAGATAATCTTTATCACATTCATAGGTTGCATTATTCTAATAGAAATGCACATATACATGTATTATTCATATTAAAATGTTTGTAGTATTTGAAATGCCAGGGTTAAAAATGGGAAACAGTGATACTATCCAATTTAAATGAGTTTGTTTTGTTGCTTGTTGGGAGGGGGGCTAATTTGCTCCTGAGGAAGTATTTATAAATAGCAGCCTGAAACCTCCTCACTTAGATTTTCATTTGGAAACAAGGCGTGAATATTATGAAACATAAACGAGTTTTTAAAACAGCAGAATACAAGTTTCTCCAAGTATCACATTAGGAAAGCAATCCCCTGCCCAGCTTTTATTGATATTTAAATTAAAAGTTAAATTTCAATCTGTATATTCAGTCCCCAAAGCATGTCATTTAAAATTTGTAGACTATGCTTTTTATTACAGAATGAACACTACACATCACTTAACTGGGAAAACTTAATTTGCCTTTATATAGTAGTAAAGTTGTTAAACATATTAAAATAAACTACATAATACAGCTTCATAATATACTTATCAAAATAATTTTTTTTTCTACTTCAAACTATTTCTCTCATATAGCTGGTACATATTTAACCAAATGGCCAAAAAAAAAAAAAAATTCCTGTGGGGACTCACAAAATATATACTTCTGTGAAAATAGCTTGAGTCCCCCCACAAATTCAAAACACTGCAAAAGGACAAACTTTTGGAGATAGAATCACTGGATCAAAGGGTATACGTACTGTAAATCTTAACAGAAAAATTTAGTCCTATGAGAAATGAGAAAATGGGTGCAAATTTTACAGGACTAGAAGTGAAGAGTGGGCAAGGATCTCCACTGTGCAAACTCAGTTATCCTGAGGGGTGATCTGTTAGGACTACTATCAGCTGGCCTTCACTGCCTCACTAATTCACATGGAGACCACGATAAATCAGGCCCAGTCAAGGCTAATGACAAGAAAATAGAAATTTTTATGATTTTAAGGTGCCATTATGTGTTTGGTGACTCAGAAAATTTGGTTTCGGATCTACTGTACTGCTAGTCTGATAGGCCCCCGTAAGGATCTCAAGAAAATAGTGTATTTCCCAAAATTTGAGAGCTTCCAAAACAATTCGTACCAGGCAAGCTCTGAAACAGTAATTCTTAAACTATAATGTGCATCAACATTTTAACACACCAGGAAAGCCACTGAAAGTGCAGATTCCAGACTTTCTGATTCATTACGTCAGAAGTGGGGCCCAGGAACTTTTATTTTTAACAAGCAGCACAAGTGATTTTGATGATGATGGTCTCTAGTTCACAGATGGAAAAACTAAGGTGAAGACTTTCTTCATTTCTGTGCATGGGCTTTCTCTAGCTGTGGCAAGTGGGGGTCACTCCTCATCGCGGAGCACAGGTGATTTTGATGATGACCGTCTCTAGTTCACAGATGGAAAAACTAAGGTGAAGACTTCTTTTCCATGTACTAAAAATAGTAATTACTAAAGTTTGGACACTTCTTTGAGTATTCTTTACTAATTCCTCTAAAACTATCAAAGCGAAAAGACAAATCTTTGAAATAAAGCCATGGATTCAAGGGTTGGTTTTCTTTTCCCCTAATTATATCTATATCTATAACTATATCTATATATATAGATATATCTATAGATATATACATATATATATATTTTTTTCCTAACCTGTTGATCTCTGTCATTTAACTGGGGTGCTTAGACACATTTAATGTACTTATTGAGATGGTTAGGTTTGGAACTGTTGTCATTTCTTTTTTATTTGTCTTATCTGTTCTCTGCTCCCCTTTTATTCTTTTTTCTTTATTGTTGTTGTTTTTATAAATTTATTTATTTTTTGGTGCATTGAGTCTTCGTTGTTCGGTCTTCATTGTTGCACGTGGGCTTTCTCTAGTTGCCGCAAGCAGGGGCTACTCTTCGTTGCAGTGCGTGGGCTTCTCATTGCGGTGGCTTCTCCCGCTGCAGAGCTTGGGCTCTAGGCGCATGGGCTTCAGTAGTTGTGGCACGTGGGCTCAGTAGTTGTGGCACGTGGGCTCAGTAGTTGTGGCACGTGGGCTCAGTAGTTGTGGCCCGCAGGCTCCAGAGCACAGGCTCAGCAGTTGTGGTGCATGGGCTTCGTTGCTCCACGGCATATGGGATCCTCCCGGACCAGGGCTCGAACCCATGTGCCCTGCATTGGCAGGCGGGCTCTCAACCACTGCACCACCAGGGAAGTCCCATAATATTTCTAATCATACCACCATTTTATTTAAAATTAGAAGCACAAAGATTTCACATATACTTCACTGAATTCTCAGCATAGATAAACAATAGGATTAAGTCTACTATAAAGACAGAACAGTAGTATGACAGAGAAATTTGCCCAGTCACAGGGAATGTAGCAGAAACAGAACCCCACCACCCAATTCAAATTAACATAACTCAGCAGATCATGCTGCCCTCAACTTAGAAATTTATGGCTGGTAACATAAATATTAAATTAGGTTCTTATTTCATGAACTTGAGAAAAAAATTCCAGAGGAAAATTCCAGTGGAAAAGACTTACATAAATGTGCTTATTCTATTATGCTAATGCCTCAGATTTCATTAACTGGACAGAAAAGGCAAGTCTAGAGAAACTGTTTATTAATTATTTATAGCCAAAGATGAAATAATCATCCACAATAATCTTAAAACCTCTAAGTTCACTTATTTATACTGGCTTATGCACAACAATGCTTCAGGCAGGGAAGAGAGGAAATGCGTATTCTCAAAAGTCATTCTTAACTTTCAGACTTGAGAAGCAGCATTAACAGAGTAGAAAAGGGCAAAGACTCTGGAGCCAGGATACTTGGGTTTGAGTCCTAGTTCCATCCCATACTAACTGGGCCGGCCTCTCTATGTCTCAGTTTCCTCACCTATAAAATGGGAAGAGTAACAGTATTAACCCTTACTGAAAGCCTGGCACATAGTAAGCACTATACAGATGACTGTGGTTACTAAGATTCTCTACTAGTCCTTGTACAGAAAATCTAGAATTAGGAACATCTGATGGTTTATTTATACCCTGCCCTGTTCTAGAAAAGGATTTAACAAAGCTTATAAAAACACATCTAAGGCTAGAGAACATAAATTAGAAGCAAAGGCAGAAAAATGCAAGCCACGATGACCCACACATTTTCTACGGGAGATCCTTAAATCTGATTCTAAGGTTTCAAACATCTGATACGAAAAACAAGTCTAGTCAGATAAGCCATTCAGAGGGGCAGTTAATTACACACTAATGCATAAGAGAATCCAAAACTGGTTAGGAATTTTTTTTATGGGGTTTCATAGAGAAAAAAATATATAATGGAATAAATACTTTGATAACAGATCTAAAGAGGATAGTTTCTCATGACAACCCTTACTATAGGATGATGATATTAGTGTAATTCAGTAAAAACAATTCTAATAAGGGTCAAATACAATGCAGTCTAGATCCCCAGCTCTCTACTAATCTGGCTTGATTCAGTGGTAAATTTCAACATCTATAAGAACATAGGGAATCCTCCCTAAACCACTTTATCTAGGCAAATACTGTAATAAGAGTGTTTGAACTCTGACAAGAACCTAAAACACAGCTCTCCTATGCTGCCTGTTAAATACAGATACAGAGGCCTTAAGAGACAATGGAGATGAAGGCAGGGTTCAGAACTTCTGAATACAATAGACTCTACCAAAGACACTCACTTGATTATGAGGCTAGCCTTATCTATTCAGAAGTGAGTAGACAGGACTTCCCTGGTCACACAGTGGTTAAGAATCTGCCTGCCAATGCAGGGGACACAGGTTCAAGCCCTGGTCTGGGAAAATCCCACGTGCCACGGAGCAACTAAGCTCGTGTGCCACAACTACTGAAGCCCACGTGCCACAACTGCTGGAGCCCGTGCTCTGCAACGAGAAGCCACTGCAATGAGAAGCCTGCGCACCACAACGAAGAGTAGCGCCTACTCGCTGCAACTAGAAAAAGCCCGTATGCAGCCAAAAGTAAATAAATAAATAAATAAATCAAAAAAGTGAGCAGAGAAGGAGCAAAGCCAAAATTCTTTTTAGAAAACTGTTCTAACTCCATCTTAACAGAGATACAAATGGGTAATAAAGGGTCTAGACTAGGAAATCTAGAATGCTCAATATAGATAATATTAATTGCTTTGCTTCAGGCAAAAGGAAGTTTTAGAAAAAACACTTCAAAGAGCTCTAACAAATAAATTTTAAAAGATGTAAAATTAATAATAGGAAAGGTGTATCTATTTTCCAATGTGGATGAATGTCAAGTGGCCTTTCAGCAGTTAAGATGATTTTGACTATTCCACATATACATAAACACAGAATCTTCAATTTGGCTGAGGCATGAATCTGTCACACAATGTAAGCTGAGACAGTCTCTTAACTGCTGAGTGATTCTAGGTCACCACCCAGCACTCCCATCTCTACATTTTCTCTTTCCTTATTTTCTACTTCTTGTGGTAACTTTCATGGAGAGCCAAATATTGCTGATGCTTTGAAATGTGGCCATCAGGGGAGAGTTAAAACTTGAGATACTTTAATAAACAGAAATCCCATGATTCTTGAAGAAAATGAGATTTCTGAGAAAGCTAAGAGACTGTATAAATAGGTATTTATCTGTGTTCAGGGAGTTTTCTGAAGTGTTAGTACATAGGCCTCATTAAAGTCAAGTTTACTATATTACCATCTAGAATAAACACAAGACTTCTTTGAATCTGGTTAATCTATACAGAGCTCTTTCTTTCATACAAAGGAGAGAGGCTCCAGGGCCTGTAGCAAAAGACAGAAATGAGCTTCAAGGCCCTAAGATGAAGTCAAATACATGGCTAATTTAATGGCAATCACCCTGCAGAGTCTGTAATAAGCACTACATGATTAAGGGGCAATTTCTATTCAAAATGTCCCCCTGTAGATGACCTATTAAACACTAACGTGAAAATGAACGTCTAACCTAAACTACTTTGATTCAGAAGATGACCAACTTCTGCTCTTAGTGCCAAGACATGCCTCATCAGTGAGGGACACCCTCCCAGTCCACTTTTCATGGACAGATGGTGAGCCATGGCCTGCCCTTGACTCCACATACTCATATGGATGCTTCTTCCCACTAACCATAATGGGGTCAAGTGAAGGTTTAGAGACTTGGGGAAATAGCACATTCAAAAGCTCATTCATAATTTGTTGGAGAAATGGAGAAAACTGAGAGGTACAAGGGGTGGAGTGGGACACCTCTATTTTCTGTGAAGTGAATTTTCTGACATCCTTAACCTCAACTACTGTTGGTCAACTGCTCCTTAAAAGATAATCAAGCGATAATTCTCAGTAATGTTTACGTGCATCAGTAATCAGACAAGACAATTATCTTAATTTTTAGTTGAGGTCTTCTTCACATTTGAGTTCATTGACTGTAAAACATCTGTACTTGAATCAAGTGTCAGAAAGTAGCCTTTGACTCTAGCAGTTTTCTTGGCTGTATTTTTTTCAGAGTTGTATAGCACATTCTATAAACAACTTATTTAATAATGTTGTCTGCTTTATAGTATTCCATTAAGTATTCAAATGCCTTATCTGCCCGTCGAACTTCTTTTCCTTAAAATGGATTCCTGGCATTTCTAAAATTAAATACTGTCAGAGGAAAGAAGAACTTTGCATTTATCATGTACCAAATGATGCGCTTTGACCACTTAACAGATGATGTATTGGCAACTATTCAAGGTTCACATTTGTGGTCTCAGTTTGGAACTGGGTTTCAAGAAGTGTACTAAGTGCACACCCCAACCGTAGTAATTAATTACAGGATTTACCATATTTAGTCCTCCAATTGTGCTCATTATTGATATGAAATAAAGCTCCCCAGAGCAAAAAAAAAAAAAAAAGGAAAGATGACAGCTCAGAACTAGGTTAAAGAACTATAAAAGAGTTCAAATGCTGTTAATATACAGCTATAAAGAGATGAAAGAGGAAAATGGTAAATTGAATATGTGAATCAGATTCCATGTGTAAACACACATCATAACTCTTGACAGCCTGCTAAAGCCAGCCTGTTCTCAAATCTAATTAAGAACATTACTGGATCATGATGGACTGATCATTATACTAGTTACATCAGAAAAAGTAATTACTTTGATTTCTGTGTATCCAGCTGGTTGCCACATTCCTGAAATCAGAACCCTCCCTAAAAGGACCAAAAATACTAAATAATTAAGGAAGCAGCATTAGCACTTTAAAATTACTTAAAGAGGGCTTCCCTGGCGGAGCAGTGGTTGCGAGTCCACCTGCCGATGCAGGGGACACGGGTTCGTGCCCCGGTCCGGGAAGATCCCACATGCCGCGGAGCGGCTGGGCCCGTGAGCCATGGCCGCTGAGCCTGCGCGTCGGAGCCTGTGCTCCGGGGAGCCACAACAGTGGGAGGGGCCACAACAGTGAGAGGCCCGCGTACCCCCCCCCCAAAAAAAAAATTACTTAAAGAGAAAGGCAACTTATCTAGAAGGTAGAACAGCACACGAGATATTTGTCAAAGCATTTACCGTCTCTACAGGGTACTTTCATTTGAAAGCTGAAATTAAGTCCCCCAGAAGGAGATACTGTGAGACTCAATGTCATTTTCACAGTCATGTCCTTCATTAACACTAAAGAGTCTAAGTTCAATTTTCATGAATTATCATTAAAACTGAAGTCAGTTGATTCATTTAGAAGCCATACAACCAGTTCTAATTCAGCAGAATATGTAAAAGAGGCACTGTTTTTATTTGTTTAACAGAATCTAAAGACTGCACTCCTTCCGTTTAAAATCTCTGCAAATGAACCTTCTTGGAAGAAGTTTCACAATTTCCTAGAATTTAAAACAAGACAAATCAACTCCATGCTTTTTTCAGACTTCTTACCTGTGTTGCCAAACTCAAGACCTGCTGTACCAGCTCCTGCGTTTCTGATGGTTTCTTGAGAAACAGCTTCACTATGGCAGTAAGCAGAGTGAGCTGTACCTAAGCAAATGTAATTTAATAGGTAAAGTGAAAGGCATTTGCATTATTCCACACCATGAATTCCAAAGTGATATTTTCCCAAATATGACTTACTATGAGGTCTTTCTGATTTTGATTAAGAAACAAAGGTTAAAACTCAGCCAATATCCACAATAGCAGTCAAAGGTTTTCTTAACCTATAAAGAGATGAAAGAGGAAAATGGTAAACTGAATATCTGAATCAGATTCCATGTGTAAACACACATCATAACTCTTGACATCCTGCTAAAGCCAGCCTGTTCTCAAATTCAATTAAGAACAATACTGGATCAAGATGGACTGATCATTATACTAGTTACGTCAGAGAAAGTAATTACTTTGATTTCTGTGTATCCAGCTGGTTGCCACATTCCTGAAATCACTAGCCTCCTATCTCCAAATTGCATTTTTTGGCATCAAAAACTGCTGGTTCATACTGACGGCAATAAAACTGGTTCCTGACCAAATTCTTTATTATTTACTTCCACCAAAAGCTACAACTTCCAGGGAATCAGGGAATCATTTATCATACTGAGGCAAGAGCCAAGACAGTAGAATTATGCCAGACCACAACCAATTAAGAGTGGCATGCTAGGGCTTCCCTGGTGGCGCAGTGGTTAAGAATCCCCCTGCCAATGCAGGGGACACAGGTTTGAGCCCTGGTCCAGGAAGATCCCACGTGCCGCAGAGCAACTAAGCCCATGCGCCACAACTACTGAAGCCTGCGCACCTAGAGTCTCTGCTCCCCAACAAGAGAAGCCACCACAATGGGAAGCCCTCACACCGCAATGAAGAGTGGCCCCCGCTCACGGCAACTAGAGAAAGCCCGCGCACAGCAACGGAAGACCCAATGCAGCCAAAAATAAATAAATAAATAAATGAAACAAATCTATTAAAAACAAAAAAAAGAATAAAATTTTAAAAAAAGAGTCACCTGCCGAACCATGAAACTACTGGCTGGTATATGTTCCTTGTAGGACCTATTAAAATTACTATGATAGATTACACACATGAACTTCAATCTGCAGTGAGTACAAATGCCGGGGAAAAAGCTTTAATAATTTATCTGCTTCTCTGGGCCTTTGACTCGAAGGTCTCTCAGTTTTGGTAGAAGACAGACAGAAGATGGGAAGGAGTCTGACCATCCACAAAGAATCTTTTCAAACTGCACATGCCAGCCTTCACCCCAGACAAAAACCCCAGCTGCAACTGAGCCAAAACCATTACTAACAGCAATGGGTAATCATCTTTAGGTGACAGAAAATTAAAAAGTAATAACTACTGCTCTAAGTCAGTAGTTGTCAAAGTGTGGTTCTGGACCAGCAGCAGCAATAGCATCACCATCCTCAACCTTGTAAGAAATGAACATGCTTAGGCCCATCTCAGACCTACTGACTCAGAAACTCGAGGGGTGGGGCCCAGCAACCTGTCCTTTAACACAGGTTAAACACCAGTGCTTAGGTGCTTCTATGGCTCATTAAAGTTTGAGAACCACTGTCTAAATTAGGCAGGCTTGTTCCAACAGAAGTTAGCGCAACTGAAAAAGGTCACCCCTTTTGGGGAGAAAAATGAACATACTATATGTGTATATAAATTCACACACATGAAACTGCCTAACCTTTATCTTTCCTGAAATTGTCCCCAAAACATCTAATACATAAGATATAGATGGGAACTTACCTGGGTGCTTTCATCATGAAAACCTTCCAGGAAGCTCTCTAGTAACTCATCTGCATTGTCAATTCTTTCAGCATATTCTCCCACAATCCAAATCATAGCTGCTCGAGCGTCTGGCTCATCCAGTGAGTCTAAGTTCTCACACAAAGTGGCAATGATACTTTCATATCTGATATAACAAAACGGACTATGGTTACTGAAGGCAAAACTGAGAAGTATATTTAACAATGAAGCCTAAAAAGCAAAAAACCATGGACAAGGTACCCTAAACCACCACCAAACTACAAAGACTTTTAGCCAAGAGAATGTACAGGCTTTAAAGCCAGAAAATTATAAATGTCTTCAGTTTTCCTTCAATTATGTTTTAATAACTAGACCATAAATCTTTGTAAAAACTTATCAGATATTCTTTTCACAAGGAAAAACTAACCTATGGTTTAAGATAATACCACTACCTTACATTTCTCACAGTCTTTCTCATAACTAGATCAGAGAATTTTCCTATTACTTCATTTTACCTTCATCGTAGAGGAACAGAAATTCCACTTTACTATTAGGAAAATGGAGTCAGACAACAATAGCAGCCAGAAACAGTAATTTTGTCTCTTATCCACCTATCTCTGCTTTCTATAGAGATCTGTATGTTCCTTCCTCCCAAGGCACCCACACTAATGACCTGTTTTTCTAAAGAAATAAGCAATTCAAGTATTTATTTTTACAGGTCTATAGCTCTCATTCTTTACCATGTTAAATCCATCTCCTTGGCTAATGTGTTTTGTTTTTTTTTTGTGGTACACGGGCCTCTCCCGTTGCGGAGCACAGGCTCCGGACGCGCAGGCTCAGCGGCCATGGCTCACGGGCCCAGCCACTCCGCGGCATGTGGGATCCTCCCGGACCGGGGCACAACCCGTGTCCCCTGCATCGGCAGGCGGACTCTCAACCACTGCACCACCAGGGAAGCCTGGCTAATGCAGTTTTAAACATCTGAATGAAATTGTATAATAAATGAGATATGGACAACTGAATAATACACTTAATTGTTTGCCCTATTTCCACTGATTAAGCCAGGTTCTCGATAATGCTTTCTTAAAATTAAACTATCATAATCCCTCAGTAATACAAACCAGAAATGGACATATTTCTTTACCAAGCATATTAAGATATATCACCTCCCCACTTAATCAAGAGGTTTAGAAACCCAACCCTCCTCTTTCCTGGGAGAGTGGTAAAAGTATATGATCCTTTTTCCAAAAATACCATTTCTAGAAAAAAAAAAAAATATATATATATATATATAGTATATATAATGCTTAATAAGCCACTATCTTATTAAAATATTTCTTCTAATTCTGAGTCCACCACTAAGCTAACTAACTGTAAGTCACTTCATTTCACATTATCTTTAATGATAATCAGAAGCCTTAGCACAGTTCATCTCTATGATTATAAGGTAAAATGATATTTAGGATGCTTATAAGATCTGCTCTTATTTCACTCTTTCAGATTCCTTAATTGTTTGCCTTCAAAAGCAAATATGAAAAAGTATTTTTGTTTCATAACTAAGAGGCCTCAATGTGAAAATTTTTGTGGAGTGAAAATGTAGATTTTGTATATCTTAATGGAAGCAGCTACAATACTTCAGAAAAGGCCTGAAACTCTGACATGTTCTATAATTTTCTACAAGTGCTAGGTAACATACTAAGTGAACAGTGAAGCTGTCACCTCCCTGGCTTTTACAATAAGGTGACCATATAATTTATTATTCAAACTGAGACGTTTCTGAGAGTGAAAAGCGGCACAATTATTAATTATGCCTGGTAAGAGGCATAAAATGGATTATGCCCAGACAACGTGGAATATATGGGTATCCTTATTTAATAGTGACTTCATCACCAAAGAATCTAACTTTAACGTATGCCAATTGACAATGCATATTCAGACAGAGCTTCAATTCTTCTAAAAGTGATAAAGCAGAGTGAAAAATCAGATTTGAATCCTTGTGCTAACCAACTTATATGTTTCTGATTTTTAATAAAGTATTCAATTATGACCAGTTACTTTACAAAGACTAATTCTTACCTAGCCAACCTTAAAGTGCCTTACTTAAACATTTCCTAAATGATCTGAGGAAGAGGGGCAGAAGTATCTGGACGTACTTGTTGGGGTATTTGCGGAAGATATCCCTGATGACAACAATCGCCTCTTGGACCACATAATTTACTTTGGTTTGGATGAGATCAAGCAATGTGCTTACACAGCGCTCTGCAGATTGCTGCAAAGAGGAACATAATGAGAAGTCAGATGATCTATCCAATAACACAACCTCAACATAAAAAATATTTTTTTGGAACATTCAGGTGTATCAACTAAACTAGACTAAAAGATGAGGCACTTAATTTGACCACACTATACTAGAGGCTGGGATATCTGATGGAGATATACAGAAGTTCTAGATATACTCCAAATTTTACTCATTACAAGAAACAGTTCAAGTGAAAAAAATCATCTTGGATAGCCAGGATGACAGAAATGAGAAGAAAGCATAAGTCAAGGTAGAAGGAAAGAATGAGAATGAAAGAATAAGCCAAGGTAAGAGGTCTTTATCTGCAGTTCATGAATGAGCACAGACAGAAGGCATCTTTAAACCTCTTGAAATGAAACTGCCAAATTTCATTTGTGCACACAAGCATATTTTCCTGGGAGAAGGTTTACAGTTTTCATTATATTTTCAAAGTTATCTGTGACTCAAAAAACTCTAAGAAAAATCTGCCATCTTCTGGGCTATATAACTGCAAGTCTATGGCCTTAGATAAACTGCAATTTTCCACAACCTATGGTTCATCTATAAAATAGAATTTAATCTATTAGTCTTTTATTAATGAAGGGAATATGGAAGAATACAAGTGACAAAACTAATGTATTGAAACAATAAGTCATAGTTTTTAAAAGAAGGGTTCCAGAAGAGAGATCCTAAAAACCAAGGACTGATTTATCATATATTACAATGTATTATGATGGGTCATTCCATTATATGCCTCCTAATAAGATGAAATAGGAAATTCACAGCAGTATCTAAGAGGTATTCTTGCCAAAAACACTGAATATGAATATTACCAAGCCTCTAGATTTAGTTTTCTCAAGGGGATGAAGGAATGAGATAAACAACATCACTAAAATACTATCAGTCAAATCTAGACTCTGGAAAATTCTACAAGCCTAATGATCTAGTCCTTTCAATAAATGGCACCCAAATAAATAAGTAAAGACTTAAGAGACATATTAACCAAATGCAATGTATAGCTAGCTCTTGTTTAGATTTTGACTTGAACAAGGCAACTGAAAGAAGACATTCAGACACAATTAGGGAAAACTGAACATGGACTAGGTATTTAATGAGATTAAGAGTTACTGTCTGTTGAGTATGGTAACGATATCATGACAATTTTTTTTAGAGGACCTTATCTATTAGATATACACATTGGACTACTCTAATAAGATCATATCTGACATCTGCATTAAAATATAACAGTAACCCACTCCCTTGAAGGGGGAGGGAGAGGGAGAAGATCAAATGGGAACAGCAATGTGTTGACATTTGTTCAAGATGGATGGTGGGTATATGAGAGCTCATTAATCAGTTTTACCTTAGTGTATACCTAAAAATTCCTGTAATAAAATCTTTTAAAGGTACTATAATTTAAACCATTCCAAGCAATATAATGAAAACAAAATTGCATCTTGAGGTTATTTATATGAGGTCATATATATGATGATTCTGTTCTCTTTTATTATTGTAGTTTTCCCATTTTTGAATTCTATTTTATTCATTTTCAACTAGTTATTTCCTGTGCTCTTATTACAAGAGCAAAACAGTTGGGAAATTTTAAATATAAAAGTTATGATAAATTATAAAGCATGTAAGGGTTAAATTATCAAATTAGATAGTACAAATACTCAGCATAAGGCTTGATAGAAAGCTAACATTTACTGAACCCTTAGTTTCATTATTATAATAAAGATAAACAAAAGGCCATCTCCCATGATGCATCAATATTCAAAAACAATTAAGTCCAGGATAGTAATTTTCAAGCAAATTGTCATCTCACCTATATTGCTTTTGATTAAATTTTTAAAACACCATTAAAGCGGTATGGCAGAGGAACAAAAGTAAATATCCAATCACTGTATATACAAAGTAAGTCCAGAAACAGAGAAAGGCATACAGTCATATAAAATTTAGTATATGATAAAGGCAACATTTCATAACAGTAAGGAAAGGATGAATTGTTCTGGTGTTTGATCCCCACACTCTTATCTTTAACCAAACCAGTGCCATTAAAGTAGAAAATAAAAGTGAATTTTATATAACTTTGAAGTGAAGCACAGTTTTCTAGGTGGTCCACTAAAGATATCATTGGGAGAGGGACTTCCCTGGTGGCTCAGTGGTTAAGAATCCGCCTGCCAATGCAGGGGACACGAGTTCGAGCCCTGGTCCAGGAAGATCCCACATGCCACAGAGCAACTAAGCCCGTGACCACAACTACTGAGCCTGTGCTCTAGAGCCCGTGAGCCAAAACTACTGAGCCTGCATGCCACAACTACTGAAGCCCGAGCACCTAGAGCCTATGCTCCGCAACGAGAAGCCACCTCAAGGAGAAGCCCGTGCACCGCGACGAAGAGTAGCCCCCGCTCTCTGTAACTAGAGAAGGCCCACACACAGCAACGAAGACCCAATGCAGCCCAAAATAAATAAATAAATAAATTTATTAATTTTTGTAAAAAATATACCATTGAGAGAAAATGGATAGAACTCACTACATAAGGAAATGCGAACTCCTATGCGAACTCCTAAGTCAAATGACATCAAAAGGAAAATAATTGGGAAAATAACTATTAATGAAATGAAGGGGTATTGAATAAATTAATACCTTTAATTTAAAAAAACTTTAAAAAATCAATGTGGAAAAGATAACACATTGAAAAAAGATACACATGCCATGAAAAAGCAATTCCAAATGGCTAAGCGTAATGAAAAAAATGTCACCTCAACTAGAGATCAAAGATTTAGCTACAAGGATCCTCCTTATAACCATTATTTGGAAAAGAGCAGAAACAACTTTAAGGTCCATACAGGAAGGGAAAGGCTAAATAATTATGAAGCAATCACACAGTATGTCTACAAACCACTAAAAATGATGTAAAATATTATCAGTAACATGGGAAAATGTCCATGTATAATAAGCAAAAAAAGCAGACTACAAAACATAAGTAAATAGCATTTGTAGAATGATCTCGTTTTTGTAAAAAACACACCTGTTTATGGAGGACTATGTAAACAAAGACTTAAAATCATGTCCACATCATCTCTGGAAGGGTAGAACAGGGGTAGGAGAAAGCAGAGTGTTCTACTTTTAACTTGTCTTTTTTTATGATTTTATGTAGTAAATACATATGCTTTTTGTTTGCATAAGACATAAGTCAGTACCTTATCTTGAGCTACAAAAATAAGAAATGGTAAACACCAAAGAACAGAAGAGTGGGAAGTGAGAAATACCTTAACTTAGTGACTTAATCTCTCTCAAACAAAACCAAGCATATAAATAAATCTCGCAAACAAAATCATTTTATTTGTAAGAACAGGAGGGCAGGGGTTTATTTCCTCCTTAAAGAAACAGGTATACACTGTAATATATACAGCTTTAAATCTGTCAATCATACCTCAATAAAGCTGGAGGTGGGGTGGAGAGTAAAATCTATTAAAAAAAACAACCAAACAAAAAAGAATAGGCAAAAGTTACTGAAAAAATAGTACTATGAAATTACTTTTTCAGTGTTATTTATTGACTCAATGGCTTATGCTTAATCTTTAACCTAACCAACTTAATATGATAAAATTATACATTTTTTTCCACCTCAGGATACTTAAAGCAACAAGGAAACACCTGTACTTACAGCCATGATAAAAAACAACTCCAACTCTTAACACCCAAATTTTACAATAGGCCCTGTTATCTTAGCTAAGCACTAAACTAAAACTCTTTTTTTCTCATCTGTCATATCTTTGAAACCAACTACACATTAAAAAAGGGTCAGATGCCCTGAGAGAAAAGCAGCAGCTCAGTCTGGAAGCTACAGAGAAAGGCTATTACAATTCCCTCGCTGGTTCTTGCCCTTGTCCCATGGATAGGTTAGTTAAAAGCAGGCAATCACTGCCTCTCCTGCCCCAATAACTGTGTCTGGACTAGGCAACTCTTTCCAACTAATAACTTTCATGATTTAACCAGTTCTAAGAAAAGTTCTTAGGCAAATCCAGGTAACTGTAGATAAGAGAACACTACCTAAAAGGCAGGATTCTTGAAGGCTGATCTTAAGCTTCCCAAGGAAGTTCATTCCTCACACACTCATATTCCCACCAGGGCACCCTGAATCAAAGGAAGAAGTGAGAGCCACCAGAAGCTCATCTCTTCCAGAAGATGATGGATAACTTTTCCATTCAGTCACAACAGACGGTACTAACAGCCGCTAGGAATCTAGATGCTTTGAGAACACTTTCTAGTAATTCCAGGTAAAGAAAAATCTCTTTAACTTTGGAATGAGACTCTCTGCAAGAGCACTGTCAGAGAGGTTAGTAAGACAATGACATTCTGGCAGTGAAAAGCACAAAATGACTCTTCTGCTACCAAAATAGCTCTGAAAATTGTCTGCATTAATACCATAAGCAGGTGGCTATTCCACAATGAGAAAAGAAAAAGAAAAAAGTTAAGTAGTGGTGCTAAGTTAAGAAGTGTGGTAGTAAAAAAAAAGATGTAACACATCACGATCCAATAAACAGATTTTCCCATTTCTCAAATGGAGCAACAGAAGTATATATTAAGTATCTGAAGCAACTGAGCTGGCAGAACCAGAAGTAGAAACCAGGATTAATTAACTTCTTGCTATAACAACTAGTCTACTAAATGATTTATCAGTGGTAACTATATGAAGCAGCATTCAGTAAATAAAAACAAGGAAGGTCAATTAGGAATTTGGCTTTCAGAGACACTTCTCTGACACAGCATGTTTCCTTCTGTTCCTGTGAAGCACTGGTCATACTGTACAAATTATTTTAGTAACTATCCTTGTGAAATCATATGGTCCAATCTGACTCAAAGTAGAATTGTAGGAACTTCCCTGGTGGTGCTGTGCTTCAGAATCCGCCTGCCAATGCAGGGGACACGGGTTGGAGCCCTGGTCCAGGAAGATCCCACATACGGCGAAGCAAATAAGCCTGTGCACCGCAACTACTGAGCCTGTGCTCTAGAGTCCACAAGCCACAACTGAGGCCGCGTGCTGCAACTACTGAGGCTCGCGCGCCTAGAGCCCGTGCTCTGCCACAAGAGAAGCCACCGAAATGAGAAGCCCCTATGCACCTCAACGAAGAGTAGCCCCCACTCGCCACGACAAGAGAAAGCCCACGCGCAGCAATGAAGACCCAACACAGCCAATAAATAAATAAATAATTAAATAAAATGTCAAAAGAAAAAAAAAGTAGAATTGCACATAGTCAAGTAGTAAGAACAAATGTGGAGCTCTGAATCCACAATATCGTTGTGCACAGAAGCCATCATTAATTGCAACAAACTTCTGAATGAGGAAAAACAACAGAGGCTTGGTGACTCAGGAACCATTGAATTGTAAGTTGTAGCCCTTAATACCTACTGGAAGGCTGCAACCAAGCTAGAACCAATCTGCCCTCTAAGACCACAGAGAAGCTCTTCAAGAGGACTTCCAAGTAAAGATCAACTCCCTGCCCCAAAGCAGAAACCTGCTAGTCAACAGCCCTGCCTATGTGCACAGAAGTCCTGACAACTTTTCTGTCATCTCATTTTTAATATAAATAGGCAGCAATTTACTGTAAGTATGGTATACACTTCAATTAAAAAATCATATATAGACATGCAACCATCACCATAAAATATTCCAGATAATTAAATTCAAACTGCAGAAACAAAACCAAAAACTGTAACTCATATCACAAGAGATTTAAGAAACTATTGCAACCACAAAAAAAGGAATGCTATGAAAAAGTACCCATAACAAGAAACAGCAATGAAGGGAGGCTGTATGGAAAGACGGCTGTGCAGAAGACAAGAAAGCAACCACCCAGACTGGAGTAAGGACTGGAAGGACAGAGGACTGGAAGAGAGAAGGGTCTAGAACAAAAGAAAAGTTTTATTAATTTGATATTATGCTTGAAAAGCTGGAAGAAGATAGGAGTGCAATGAAGGCACAATGAAATTAAAAAAACAAACAAAAACAAAGGCCATTATAAACTACAGAAAAAACAAAAGCCTTTATAAGAAAGAAAACGCAATCATTTGATTGTATAGGCTCTACATATTTACAGGCATAATACGCACAGCAAGCTTTGCAAGACTCTAGTTGATAGAACAAGAAATAAAGGTATATTATCTCAATTTACAAAGATAATATAGGAACAAAAACCTCATGATATAACTATACAGGGGAGCTATACAGAAGAGTAGAAGTAGGAGCGATGGAGTATATGAACCAAGTTGCTTCTCTCATAGCGGAAAGTTAATAGACAATGTGTACAATTGGTAAATCAATAAATAGTAGCATAAGGATATTAGAGATATGGAAGTAATCAAAATGACTAAAACTAGGAACAGAGTTAAACATGATTCCCTCGGGAAAGAGACGGACCAGGGACAGCTGTTTTTCATTAAAAATTCTTTAATATTTTAAAAATGTGCTTTATTATTTTCATAAACTTAAAAATGTATTTTTAAATTTAAACTTAAAAATGTAAGGAAAGAGGTGAAGAGAATACCCAGAGTCCCACAACGTGAGCACAACTACCATGGGACACTTGCCTCCACCTTGATGGCACACCGTCCAATGGCCCGCACAGCTTTGCGCACAAAGTCGACATCCACCTCTGTGGCATATTCCTTCAGTTCTGCCAGAACCTGTTAAAAATCCATGAAGTGAACAATCATTAAGGATTCTCCAACAGCAATTTCATGGCCTAGGTTTTTCTGAAGGCCAGATCATAAGATCTTAGTTACTAGATCCTAACTTGAATCTACTTTAAGTCTGACCTGAGCAATGTTGGCTTGGGATGCCAAACGAATCATGATGTCCAATTTCTCTAGTTTCACATAGATGGGATCATTGTACTTCACAAAGAAAACTTTGATCTCCTGCTTCAATATTTCAGGCCTGTGGTACACAGAAACACAAGATAAGGAAGGTGAGGCATCTACTGATATATCCTCCTGAGTCTGCATTAATACCTAACCTGTGCTTCTCTGCTCTCCATTCACACACTCCACTCCAGGGGAAAAAGCTCACAAACTTCCTCTACACCCCTCTAACCAGATCCATCTGGCAGACTATTTTTATCCTTGTTAAGGAGTAAAGTATATATTGCCAAAAAGAACCACTGGAAGAACAACAACCTGATCTAAATTACAGCCTGAACCATATTAAGCAGACACTAGCTATCATACAACTAAGAGTTCCTTCAGAAAAGAAACTAAACTGTAGAGCAACACCAGGCATTCACTGTAGGAACACTCTAAAATCAACTGTTAGCCTCCTGACCCTGGGCAAGTTGCTCTACCACACAGTATTTTCATTTCCAAACATTAAACAGAGTTTTAACACAGTCCTCTTTAATAATGATGTTATTAAGTTTAATTCAAAATTACAAACACTTTAATCACCAATTCATTTTTTCCCAACCTTTTCTGGACGATTAGGTTGATGTTCCTCAGGGCGACGTACTGCACCTCTGGCTCCCCAGACAGCAAAGTGACAAGTGGAGGGGCCAACTTCTTCAGCAGCATATTGTAGTAGTCAGAGTCCTTGGGTAACAACTCTAGAAATTTCATTAGGACTTTTACTGCTGAAAGCACCACTGCTGAGTTGGCGTGAGATAGCCGAGGAGTTACCCGCTCACAGATACTGAGGACAGAAAATGAAAATTAGTACCTTAAATTATAATTTCTTTGCTCAATCCAATCTGTAAGGTAATGTTGTCAGAGGTTCCCATGGCCCAGGTATAAAGAAATTAGAAAATCAGTTAGAAAAGTCAAAACTCCATACATAGGTAAATTTGGGATCCAACACTGTGGATGCCTCAATCCCAGCAAACTACAAACAGAGCAGGGACATCAGAAGACTTTAGGAAAACAGCAATAAGGGATGTTCAAACTGGAAGGGAACTAGCCAATACTCCAAACACCTGAAGCTCACACCATTTACCTTCCTATTTTATAGTCCTCTCTGTCTCCCCATATTATGTAAGGGCTCCCTGCCTCACAGCCCATTTCTCCTCAGCCTATAGGAAGTCAAATTAAGCATTCTGAGAGTTATTTCATAGTGAGAGATATCAACCAACTGTGGCTGAAGTTTCACTGTAAGATGCAGAAGGAGATGGGCTGACAGGGAAAACCACCCAACCTCTTGTATTCAGCATAATAGGGAATCTCGGGAAGGGTGTTTGTTTGTTTGTTTTTAACAACACAATACCACTGCAATACTCTCTCAGCCTCATCCCCTTCTCCTAGTCCCTGCCACCTACACTTAAATGTCTCATAAAATATAGAATATTTAGTTATCCATTGAGGGTTCTTCAGAAATTAACCTAATTTTGATAGCTCTTAGGCAACGTGAGTGGCTAGCCGACTCAGTTAAGGACACAAGGTAAGTAAGCTGTGTTTCTCTCCCTTCCTCCTGTATCTACCTGGCTGACTCCCTGACCTCCTTTAGGTATTTATACAAATGCTACCTTCTCAGGGAGACCTTTCCTGACCACCCAGCATTTGTTAGATCTCTTCCTTACTTTATCTTTCTTGTTAGCACTTATCATCATCTGACCTATTATATGCTGTATTACGTATACATATTATATATACTTCTGCCCTATCCCTCAGAATAAGTGTTCCATAAGAGCTATGATTTTTGTCTGTCCACTGCTATATCCTCAGAGCCTAGAACAATGCCTGGCATACAGCATGGGCTCAATAAATATTTGCTGAGTGAATGAGTGTGAGATGTTAATGACCAAGAGAAAATAAAATTGTATGTAAAGTTCTTTCCAGAAGATATTTGTACTTTCAGTGATGGAAAGAAACTATCAGGGTGAGCTTTGGTTAAATCCAGAGGGAACAATTTCCCAGACAAGTGAAGAGCACTTACATTATGGTAGCTCGAGCTTTAGCCGGGCAAGGAAGGTTCCTATCTACCATAATTAAAATGAAGAGCCAGGGCTTCCCTGGTGGCGCAGTGGTTTAGAGTCCGCCTACCGATGCAGGGGACACGGGTTCGTGCCCCGGTCCGGGAAGATCCCACGTGCCGCGGAGCGGCTGGGTCCGTGAGCCATGGCCGCTGAGCCTGCGCGTCCGGAGCCTCTGCTCCGCAACGGGAGAGACCACAGCAATGAGAGGCCCGCGTACCGCAAAAAAAAATAAAAATAAATAAATAAAATAAAATAAAATGAAGAGCCAACAATTCTTCAGAATTATTTTGCCTAGTACAGTGCCTATACACACAAAATGCTCAATAAAAACTGATGATACCTCCAATTCTGTAAACTAAAATGTATGTATGTGTATATGAAATTTAGTAGTGAGTATCTGAGAGTCAAAGAAAATCTGCAACACTAAAGTGGTAGAGAGCTGAGCAGAACAATCCAGGTGTGCCTTCCAAAATCTTCTCCAAATTCAGACTGATGTGATCCCTGGATCTAACGGAAGACATCATACATTTTGCTGGCTGCAACACAGTTTCTCTAGTACTAATTATAGGTATAAGGCAGCTCAATAACTAGTATCAAGCCACTTACTATGTATCTAAAAGAACGAAAATTTTGTCACTACAGTGAGAGACACTCAAAAAACCTTTGTTTGCCAAATGGCTAGGAATTGCTGTATGGGAGATGTGAGACCATGATGAGGGAGAGTTTTTTCAGAGGGTTGTAACTATACTGTTCAAAGAAGAAATGAAAAATACACATCTCCTCTTAGGAAGAGCTATTTTTTGCATGGTTTACTCTACCACCTAAAATGTTCCTAAATACATTGAGAAAATACCACAGGATAGCAATATATATCCTATAAGCCACTGATTTTCTCAACGTAACAGACCCTTATTCTAATACAGACTTACTAGAAATTACTGAACCAGGCAAGACTCCTAGATACTATCCAGAAAAACAGACTGACCTCTGAGCCTCCCGGTCATCTTTAGGGTTGTAATTAGACAGGCAGTCCAGGATGAAAATCTGGCCCCATTCGGTGCACTCATTCAGGGCTGTCAGTAGCTTATTAATGTTCTGTGGATTCAGATCGAGTAAGTTGCTGTTTGGGTGAGATTCACTGATTTCAGATAATGCTGCTACAGCATTAGCCACCACCTGGGAAAGAAGCAGATATGACCTTGATTTGTCAAGAACAGTACAACTATTTCTCTGGATCACTTCATCGATCTCAACCCATAACCGTTCCTGAACATTTTACGCAGTCAGCTAGAAAGAGATATACTGCTTTCAAAACGTATAATAAACCACTAATGATGGCATATATAGCTTCCTCATGGTCAGGCAACACAGAATTAAAACAATTCACATATTAGCAGAGAGTCCCTCAAGATTTACTATTAAAACAATAATAATTTTAATAGTAGTCAAAACTATCAGTAGAATTAAGACCCATGAACAGCTGTAAAAGAAGTGAAGGTTAGGGACTTCCCTGGTGGTCCAGTGGTTAAGACTCATGCTTCCACTGCAGGGGGCATGGGTTCGATCCCTGGTTGGAGAACTAAGATCCCACATGCCTCACAGCCAAAACAAAACAAAAAACACAAAACAGTGAAGTTTAAATATGAAACATGTACATTAGGCAATGGAAAGAAAAATCTAGGGCAAACAATTTTATAGGTGTATGGGTGTGCATGTACTGGGGGGTGGGGAGGTGATACTTCAGGTGTCAATCACACCTTAAGTCTCAGAGTAAGAAAATGCAACCTTGAAACCATAGTTCACTGTAACATGACGTTGGGAAAGCACGTAACCTCCATGAAATTCAATTTCCTCATCTGAAAATGGGATAATTTAATCCACCTCTCAGATTAGCTTTAATTTGAGGATAAAATCAGATGGCTTACGTATAAGTGCTTTCTACAAAGCCTTATACAAAGTTAAGGTGGCAATATTACCATAATTCATCAAGACTAAGTTGCACGGTTTTTCATATTAACATCTCTGAAGTTGGGATATATTTACTAATCAACGGCATGTCAGTTTAATAGGAGGTATTTTTCTTTCTACATAATACAGGAAATAATAATGCAACTTAGAATCAATGAAATATGGTACCTCAAATGTATCCTTAACTCAGGCAGTATGATAAATGAAAAATTGCTACCAAATATAAGAAAGTACACTTGTATCCTGACTTACAGACCCAGAAATCCATACTAGCTGCAAGAAAAAAAAGTGGACACTTTATCAAAATTACAGATTATGTCTAATTTAACTAAGAAATCTACAACCAATGAATGTTTAAAGTAATTTTAAGATTATAAAAACACCCAAAAATAAACAAAACAGACAAAAAACTATAGCTCTGTACAAATGAATTTAAAACCACATTTTGCAGTGAGGCTCTCAGCTGTCTCTAAATATTAGCACAGTAAGGCTATATATAAATATTCTGTAAGCATACAGAGATGCAATAGGTAGCAGCTTCATTAATTATGTATATTGAAAAGATTCTCAGAAATGTCAACTCATTTTTAGTTCTTACTGAAGTCCCTGTTAAAAGCTTGAGAAATAAGAGTTGTATGATTATCCTTTTGCTAGCAAGAGAAGAAACATAACGGTTACAGTTTACCTATTGATTTTAATATCCATATCACTTGGGTACTCTGCAGATTATCCCAGTATATGATTTTACCTAGAAGATAAATTCTAGAGAATATGGTTTTTTAAATCAAATAATACATTCATGACAGTATCCATTAACTAAGATAATGATGCCACAAATGGAATCACCTTCAGTTATAACTTAGTGATCAGGACAAAAAATTCCAAGATGAAAAAAATCAAAGGTTCACTTGGTAAGTATGATTATGGATATAATATTTTATTGTTATTAAGACAAATCGAGAAGGATTATCTAGTTCACCTATCACATGATAGCATGCATGAAGTTCTTTCCTGACTTAATTTTTGTTTGCCAACCACACCATCAAGCATGGCCTTTAGTAAAAATTAAAAAGCATGAAAAGTGAAACAATTATCTCCATCATCTCAGTGCTTTACATTCAGGGAAAAGGTACTGTGTTTCCCCTGTATAATACACTTAATACACTGGATTATAGGATAAAGGATCAAAATGTCACACTGGAAGAACAAATGCACGTTTTCCTCTCCTGCTGCCAACACATGCCCAGTCTTGGTTACCAGTTCGTCCAAAACAAATGTCCTGTCATGACTTACCATTTCTGCCAAATTTTTTTAATGTTAAAAAAAATTAAATATGAGGTCTGTTAACAGGAAATGTTGAACAGAATGAACAATTAGAACTCCTCTGCTAACATCACAGGTAACTGGAAATTAAACCAAGTACATAATGCAGCTAATGAAGTATATGTTCTGGTGGTAAAACAGGCAATTTTCACTTATTATCACATTAAAACAAGAAAAGAAACAGGGAAAAGTAAATCTCATTAAAATATCCAGAGAGATCAGATTATATGATTATGTTTAGAAAAGTCTGCATGAGGAAAAAAGATCACTGCCAAATGGTCACTGAGCCAATGACTGGCCAGAGGAGATACACCCCCAATAACAAAACTCTACTGCTATTCCTCTAAAATTCCTTCTATTCTACCTTTCCACTTTCATCTCCTAATCTTCACATTCATACTGCTAAGTTTTCAGAAATATACTGAGGTGGGCCCATAAAGAGCTGCTTAGAGTTCTCCTGGTCAGTAAGCCATGCTTCTCTCACTCTAATGGAAACTTAAAATAAGCATCGAATCTCCAGCAGGCAAAGACTGACTTCAAGACAGCAGCTGGGTAGCTGGGGTATACAGGACAACTCACTGGTCTCTGTGTTTCTTTGGAATTTTGTATAGAATGTAGTACATATATTATCTGTTTTTAAAAATAAACTTTAAAAATAATAGATTGAAACATGATATACTTCCTCTTCCCAGAGAGCCTTCTCCAAACAATAATTCATTATCAAAAGAAAAAATCTGACTCTTGCAGTAACTGCCCTGGTTTGCTAGTGTATTAAAACAAAGGTTATGTCTCTTTCTCTTGTACCATCACTTTGAATCTGAACTAAGACTAACATGCATAACATTCTCCCCCCTAGAAAACTGGCAGTTCTTTTAGGAAACACTGCCATGAAGAGAACAATGGCCTTTTAATTATAATCTCAGAAAAACTGGTGTTCCCAAGAAAGAAAGGGGTTTCTAAAGGAAGTTTTGCTTTTAAAATGGATTTATAAATAGGGTTTAAGTGAGTTTTCTCAGCACATTGGTTGATTTACAAAGAGCTGGCATCTAGGCTACAAAGGAACATATCCCATAGCATCAAAAGAAATTTTTTTCTTAATTCATCTTGCCTCCCAATTATGGTAAATTCTGTTCTTTGGAAGACTGCAATGAAACATTCCTCCTCCCCATCCCACCCCTACCCCCTGTAGACCTAATATAATATGTATACTTTACAGATACCGATATTAAACACAAACATATACATACATACAGAAGTATGCGTGCACGTGCATGTGTGCGTGTGCACTCACACTCAATACTAGACAAATTTTTCTCTGCCCTAACTACAGACTTCCCTTCAATTTGACAGTTCATTGTGGACCCTTGGAGTCTGCTGAATTTTTTTTTAACGTAAGCAATTTGTGTTTTGACTTACTTTATACTATACCTAATAGAATTGGACAAAGAGATAAAAGACAAAAATAGCTAAAACTTACTGAACACTTACTATGCCATTTACCTTCCCAGCAACTCTAAGGTAGTTGCTATCAAAATCCACCTATTACAGATAAGGAAATAGGCTTTAAAAATGAATTTATAAATAGGATTAGAGAAATTCAGTGACTTGCTTAGCCAACAAAGCTGGAAAGGGAAAATGCTTGAATACAAACTCAAGGCCTGGGGCTTCCCGGGTGGCGCAGTGGTTGGGAGTCCGCCTGCCGATGCAGGGGACACGGGTTCGTGCCCCGGTCCGGGAGGATCCCACATGCTGCGGAGCAGCTGGGCCAGTGAGCCATGGCCGCTGGGCCTGCGCGTCTGGAGCCTGTGCTCCGCGGCGGGAGAGGCCACAACAGTGAGAGGCCCTCGTACCGCAAAAAAAATAAAAAAAAAAAGAAACAAACTCAAGGCCTGTATCTGATTCTAGTGTCTGAGTACTAATCACTCTGCTGCCTGCATTTATAGAAGTTCCAAGAGCTGTGAACTTCAAATGGGGGAAAGGGAAAGAAAAATCGGAGCGGGGGAGAATAATATAATCAAAACATTATTTCCAGGCAGATTTATACAAGGAGAAAAATGTATTCTCCTACTTTATATATTTCAGAGACAATCACATCCTAGCAGCACTTCAAAGAGGCAAGATTTACTATCCAGCTATAAAATCTGATTTATAAGCTACCCCTGTCTCATCTGCAGCAATTCTGAGGACATAAATTTGACATTACTTTTTTTATTTTTATTTTTTGGCTGCGCCCTGCGGCTTGCGGGATCTTCTTCCCTGCAAGTGGAGTCTTAACCACTGGACCACCAGGGACGTCCCAGACCTCATTTTTTTTTTTTTTTCTTTAAGGAGCAAGCTGGAGTGGTGGGTATGGTTAAAATAAAAATGATCCCGTAAAAAAAGAACTCTAGAAGGAAATCTAGATATACATTGGGAGTGGAGTATCACAGACAGAAGCTCCTTTAGGAGAAATCTCTCACACATTTCCCTTTCCCTTTGAATGATCTCTCTAATTTCACTCATTTTCATAGCCTCAGAACCCAAGAAAGATAGCACTTCGCAATATAGTGACTTCCTCCTATTAACTATATTTAGAAGACTTTCATTTCTAGCAATGACCTTCAAGGTCACACACTCTGAACAAACACTTCAATTTTCCCACTCAATTTACAATCCTTTTGGCTGCTGCCCCTGAAGACTTGAATAAATTGAACGCAGTAGAATAACTTACCAAAACTATTATAATGGAAAATAAAGGTGATTTGCATACTTTTATCCTCTTGAAAATCAGCAACAGTTCAGAATCTCACTTTCTTTTTTATGGAGTTGCCTCAAATAACACGTTAAAGCACAGGGCATTTATTCTAAGCATGTTTCAGTCATCATCATCTCCTTAAGAACAAAAT